CTGTGGGATATTTTCCAGATACATTGAGCTGGCGGCACTTCAGGCCCGGCGGGGGCAGCACAGTCAGCATGGTGCTCACTGGGGGCAAAGGGCAGGATCAGAACAGCCACAAAGGTGGGGAGGAGGGGCATGGGGCAAGACTGAGGAGCACTGTGGGAGGGGCAATGTCCATCAGCTGTACCGTGGGGTGTGAGCTGTGGGTAACAGGAGCAGTGTTCCCGGTAAGATGGGCGTTTTGGGTGGCTCCCAGAAGAGATTCCAATGTGCCCCACTGATTAGCAGAGTGCCCGCAGCAGGCAGCCTGGGTTTCTACTGGTGGTGCACATCCGTACATGCTAATGCACATAAAAACTTATTCCACACAGATGTAAAAAAAAAAGAGGGGACACTGGTCAGGGCTGTGGGTCAGGTGGGGGCTGCGGGTCCAGGCCATGGGATGGAGGCTGTGATCGTACCCCTCTCCCTGTGACTCTGTGCCCCCCATGGGGAGGAGGACTTGGATTTCAAGTCGTGGGGTAGGGGCTGTAGGTTGTACCCTTCTCTCCATAACTCTGGTGCTCCTCATGGGATAAGGGATGTGGGTCTTGGCCATGGGCTGCACCTACCTTGGGCTTTGAAGGCACCCTGCTCCTCATGGAAGAGCTGGCCCGGCGCCCGATTCTGCAGCAGGCTCAGGTATCCATGTTCCCGGACCTCTGGTGCCTCCTGCTCCCGCCTCCATACTGTCACCACAATCTGCATGGGAGTGAGGGGGAAAGAATGTCAGAGCTGAGGGGGGTTATGGCCGGCTCTCTGGCCCCCTTCACATGGGGTCCCACCTCACAGCCCAAATCCCCTCCTGCCCTGGCCTCCCCTACCCATGCATGACCCCTCCCAACTGCATTCCCAAGGGCCCCCGGCCCCCTCACTGGTACCCCTCAGACCTGCCCACATCAGGTCCCCTCAGCCACCCTCCCATGAGGCTTCAACCAGGCTTGCCTCTCCCTCACCTTAGCCTTGACAGTGCCGGGTGGCAGCTTGTCCAGGGAAATCGTCAGGGGGAAAATCACCTCATCCGCAGAGACAATTGGCTCCTCCACAGGGATCTGGGAGGTTGAAAGGGGGAGCCGTCAGTACCATGAAGCCCTTCACTCCCAACCCCCAGCTCCTCCTTGCCCAGCTCTGCCCTCCCGAGCTGTGCTAGTGTCCCTCACTCCTAACCCTTGTTTCTGACCCAAAGTCCCCCATATTCTCCTTGTCCCCACCCCAGAGCCCCTACACCTGGCTGCCCCTCACCTCCCCCGGGTCCCTTCTCACCCCTGCTGCTGGCCGCCCAGGGGGGCCCTGGCCGTGGGTCAGCAAGGGACAGCAGTCTCGGAATTGGCTGGGGTTTGGGGGTGGTGCAGCCCCATCTGTGCCCGGCCCCTCGGGGGGCTCTGCATCTTCTGGCCCCACCCAGGGGCTGACACTAGCTAGTGCAGACAGGGAGGAGCCCAGCTCCCCCCAGGGCGGCCGGGCGGCAACTGGACCTGCCCGGCCCCGCAGCACCAGCAGGAACCGGACAGTTTCGCCCAGGTACAGGTGGTTGCGGCGTGGCAGCGCACGGTACCGGCCCGGCTCGCCACGCAGCAGCTCCCGGGCCGGGAAGGGCACAGCTGGGAAGTACATGAAGTACTCACACTGCGCCTCCATGCTGGGGGGCACTGAGGGATGGACAGGGTGGGGAAGTGGGGGAAGAGGCTGAGAGAGGTGAGCTAGGAGCAGGAGGGGGGGTGCTGAAGGATAAGCAGGGGTGGCACTAGGATGGGGGGGCACAAGGGGAGAGGGATGGGTAAAAAGCTCTAGGACCAGGGTGGCTGGGGGAGGGAGGGAGATCACGAGCGAGGGGCTGAAAGCCTAGACTCAGAGGTGCAGGGGGAGGGACAGGGAGAGCCCTAGGACCCCGGGGTGCAGGGGGACCGGTGCGATGGATGCTAGGACCCGGGCCCGAGGGGGAAGGGGTGGGCGCTAGGACCTGGAGTGCATGGGGGGAGGGGAAGGAAGCGCTAGGACCCAGGATAGGGCGGATGGCCACTAAGGCCCACGGGGCGCTAGGACCCTGGAGGTTCAGAGGAGAGCAGGTGGGCGCTAGGACCCGGGGCCGAGGGAAAGGGGGACGCTAGGACCCGGGGGGGTTCGGGGCCGGGAGGGTCCCGCTCTCGGGTGTCCCGGGCGCTGCAGCCGCTGGCCGGGGGCGGAGGGGGCGGAGCCAGAGCCGGTGGGGCAAGGCGCGCAGTCGAGCGCCGAGTGCATCGATTGAAGAGCGAGCGCGAGAAACGGCCCCGAAGAGTATTCTGGGGGCGGGACTTCCTGGACTTCCCCTAAGCCCGGCTGTGAAGGATGGAGCAGTCGACTAATCGGAGCGCAGAGGAGGCAGGACTTCCAACGTGGCTGAGGCGCAGGGTCTGATACTTGACAGAAGGCGCACTGGCCAGTGCCAACCAATCAGCTGCCGTACGACGCCGGACTTCCGGGGCCATGCCGAAAATGATGGGCATCTCAGGACACCTATCCTTCCCCTGGGAGCGACTGAAGGGCGGGACTTTCTGGATTGCACCAGAATAATAGACAAGCACAGAGGCCAATCCCAGCCTGAGACTCCTCTAAGGAGGCAGGACTTCCTAGTTTGCCTGGCTAATCAGTGGATGATTGGCGGCACCTATGACGAATCACCATCCTGTGTCTGTTGGGGGTGTCACTCCCTTTTGGGGCCCTGCTTCTCGAGCGCCCAATTGACTGTGGGCTCTGCTGTGCTCCTGGGCTGCCCTCGCACCCCCCATTTCTTGTCTCAGCAGGCAGGCCTGTGCGAGGGGTGACAGGAACCGTTTGCTCTGGTCACTGTGTAGCCACAACTGTTTTTAGCAGTTAGGCAGATACTAAAATGCACCTGGAGGTGGCCGGCAGCCAGCGAGCGCCCAGCTACTGGCCTACTCCCAGAGAGCCCCTTGTGGGCACAGGCTGCTCCAGCATGCCATGGAGCTCTAGTTTGTGCTGTCAGTCTGGGCAAGGGTCTCCTGCACCCTCCCCCTGCTCTTTCTCACCCTGTGCAACCCCTCGTCCCTTGCACCCCCATGTGCTGGTGATTTACACTCTCCACACCAAGTTCCTGATTGAATAATTTTATAAGAGGAAACAACCCAAAGGAAAGTGGGACTATAATGACCCCGGGATGGAGAAGAGAAGTACTGAGTAACACAGATGTCACCAGGCACTCCTGCCCAGCACCAGTCCGGTGCTAAAACAGTAATCAATATTGTCCAGGTGGAGTCTCTGGGAGACATTGGGGTGAAGCTGGGGGGCTGTCCTCCATTCTCTCACCCCGACATGACATGGTTTCCTTCCTATAGTTTATAGTTTGGTTCAATGGCTCTTAGCCCCCTCCTCTCCACGTACACATTGCTCCAGCCCCATTGGACTCAGGATATTGGAGGATTCTAGGCAGGGGCTATCCCCACTTTTTTCCTTCTGTTATGGGGGCTGTTCCCCACATCTCCCCATCTCTGTGCTGGGGCGGGGCTTTCCCCGTCTTCCCACCTGTCTGTGCCAAGGGTGCTGTGCCACACATCTCCCCATTTGTCTGTGCCATTGGGCTGGACTGGGGGTAAGTGTTGCACGCATCTGTCTGGTCCAGGGGTTTATGCTGGGGGCAGAGGGTGGGGAAAGGCAGCCCCTAGCTACCTGCCCCCCGCTGTGGCCGAACTGTTGGCCCCAAACTGTCTGGCATCCAGTGCATCCTTATACTGCAACTCAGGGGTGACCATGCGGGTGCAGAGCTGTCGGTCTGTGGGCCCCAGCCCTGGCCTCAATGCATAACCCAGAATCTGTGCCTGGCCAAATTGGAAGGGGCGGATGTGTTCATCAGGAATACCAGCTGCTTCCACGGGGCCCCCACCCTGCAGGCACCGCCCGGCTAGCTCTCGGCGCCGTTCTTGCAGCCTTGCCACCTCAGCCCGCAGCCGGTCCAGGCCAAAAGCCTCCACGCGGCGCCAGAAGCTGCGATTGAAGTGAGTGTAAAGCTGCCAGTCCAGGGCATTCCAGTTTCGCAACTGGGCAGCCTGGGCTGGCGCCAAAGGTCGCACAGCCTGGGGGCTGCGCCCATTGTGCCGGAAGGCGTCCATATCAGCTTCGGCCCAGCATAGCGCCTCCCGCAGCAGCACCAGTGACTCATCAAAGTGCTCTGTCAGCAGCACCAGTGGGAAGGTGCGCTCCAGCCAGGCTAGCACCTCCTGCACTGCTTTGGGGCCCAGCTTGGCTGGTGGTGCCAGCCCAAAGTCAAACCATAGCAGGTTGCGCGCATAATGGTTGCCCCTCTCATTCGGGTCATAGAAGTGCTCAGGTGCTGACAGGAACTGGGCCAATGAGCCGGCCCGGCGGAAAGCTGGCGCCACAGCCCGGTAGTAGGAGAAGGCAGATTCAGCCAACGCCCCTGGGTCCCGTACAATAGAGAAGTAAAAGCTGTCGGGGGGCATCACTTTCTGCACCTGTGGGAAAGGAGAATAGGGAAGTGTGGCGGGGAGTCCCCAGAACCCCCCAAACCCATCTTGAGGGTTGCCAGGTGTCCAGTTTTGAACCGGACAGTCCCGTATTTGAGCTTTCTGTCTGGGAAACAAATTGAACAAATACTGGACATATAAATGTCCGGTATTTTCTAATTAAATACGTTTTATTATTATCATGAGTATCAGTATGTAGTTGTGTACTGCCTGGCTGGTAGATGCGCTCACGCTGCGTGAGTGTGTCTACTAGCCAGGCACTATGCAACTACGC